TTTTTTGGGACACCCTGTACATATATTTATTAAATAAATCACATAATTATTATCATTTTTTTCATTTCGTGAATATCTTTGAATTGCAACATATATAATTGTCACCTAAAATTAGACATATACTTTTATTGTCCGAATACCACCCTTTCATACTGTTTACAAAGCTTTAGGTCACCATAAAGTCTTATCCTTGTATTGTAGGTAACCTTTTATAAAATCTTAATGGAAGTTCCGACTTGTCAGAATGTCGTCGTTTCTAATAACCTATTAAGTAGAGTTCAGATCGTATTCATAGATCGTAGCTAAGAATGAATTAACAATGCCATGACATATCGTAAAATCTGTAAATCATTACGGTGGGGCCAAAAAAGATGTGGAATAGGAAGACGACATTTTAGAACCTTTATGTCGAAATCAAATAGTTTTATCAGTATAGCTTAAGTATATATTTCTTCACGAGAAATGGTTCTGTGAACACTGCACAAATGTAAACTGGACTATCTAAAATTGTAAAACTTCAGTCAATAGAAGATGTCCTTCTTTTCGACAGTTCTTGTTATCTGCATGCACTGTATGCACGTTATATTTACTTTTTGGCACGAGGACAAATTGAGATTAGTTTTCAAGATGAGCTGACTGGTTGTCCTGTGTTTTTGTTTTATGCAATCATTATTTTTATTCTGGAATATTTTAAAATCACAAAAAAGATGGATTTTCGTAAACAAAAAAATGAACATTCAAGCTAACTTATTCAGACTTTAAAAAGACAACAACAAAAATCTAAATAAACTCAAGCTAGATGCACGGAATAAAGCAGCTAAAATAAGATTATGTATTGATAGGTTCTCTCGATCAGATGATTTTAATTATGAATCTTACAAAAGTATTTCATCTGCTCAGACATACGATCTCCGGAGAAACAGCTAGCCTATGTTCCTATTTACGCAGAAACCTGAACCTAAATTTTTCAAAGGTAGTTCCTCTAGTCCAGAGAAACCTAAACCTGTATATTCACCGATAGTTCCTCTAGTCTCGTTAATCTAGTTAATCTCGTTAATCTCGTTAATCTCGTTAATATCGTTAATCTCGTTAATCTCGTTAATCTCGTTAATCTCGTTAATCTCGTTAATCTCGTTAATCTCGTTAATCTTGTTAATCTCGTTAACTTCCTTAATCTCGTCAATCTCGTTAATCTCTTTAATCTCTTTAATCTAGTCAATTCGTTAATTTCGTTAATCTTGTTAATCTCGTTAATCTCGTTAATCTCGTTAATCTCGTTAATCTCGTTAATCTCGTTAATCTCGTTTATCTCGTTAATCTCGTTAATCTCGTTTATCTCCTTAATCTCGTTAATCTCGTTAATCCCGTTAATCTCGTTAATCTCGTTAACCTCGTTAATCTCGTTAATCTCGTTAATCTTGTTAATCTCGTTAACTTCCTTAATCTCGTCAATCTCGTTAATCTCTTTAATCTCTTTAATCTAGTCAATCTCGTTAATCTCTTTAATCTAGTCAATCTCGTTAATCTTGTTAATCTCGTTAATCTCGTTAATCTCGTTAATCTCGTTAATCTCTAAAATTTTCATGAACTAAATATGAGAAAATAAGAAAAATTAAATATAAAATTATAAGACGTGTCATGTGTGATAAATATCAATATATAGATCAAAAAAAGTTTCCCAACAAAGTTCAGACAACAACTTATCAAAACTTACAATTCTTCCAAGTTGAAAAGTTCCCAACTGAGGGGGGAGGGGCGGGGGAAGTTTTTTGTTGTTGTTGATTGGAGAAAGTCTGAAAATGTATTCCCTCGGATGGTTTAGAACTAAGCCTAGATATGAAACTCAAAAATCCTGAAAAGCAACTATTTTCGTATTCATTCAGTTTTCCTGCTTTATCTGACTTACTTCCTATTTCTATATTATTCCGTTTTACGCATGTGGTAAAATTGATCTGAAAAAAACATGCAGAAAAAAACATGCGAAAATTAAAAATTGAAGTATTTATTTAAATTTAAATGTTGCTCTACAAGTCGCCTTTTTAGTAATTATAAAACTTAACTTTTCGTGGATTTTTCTGTTTAAATTAGGGATTTTGCAAAAAAGGAGAAATTTTTGACAGTCCATAAACCTTTCTTAGGCTCATGTAGTTGCCACAAAAAAAGTTTTGACTGTTATTTGATAGAGTGAAGACAGACAAGCCAATCATGAATATGAATTCAGTAATAAATCTAATCAAACCCCCATAAATAGAAGGAAATATCTTGTTTCTGATAGAATTGAAAATAGAGGTTTTACATTTATTTGTGATGGAAGGATCCTGTGGTAATGCAATATTAAATATATGTATTTGATTCAATTTTTTTAAAGAATTCTCATCAAATATTTTTGGAAGCCATTTATATGATTCTTGTAAACTTTCTTATTTGTTCTGTGCATAGATATATTCTGTGTAAATTTTGAAGATTTTTTGGCGCATTTTTAAATCGTTTTAAAAAAAATTGATCACCAATATGTATAAGCATGCAGGTTTAAGATTCCCCTGTGATTGTGTAGATATTAACAGGAACAGTAATGAATTTAGCAAGATTCACAAGATGTAGGAAAAAAATATTTCGGAAGAAGGTTGTTTTCTGAAGAAAAACAATACGAATTCTTAAAAAAAAAAAATTTCCGGTCTCCCTTCCGAATTTTTTAACCATTTTCATCACAGTAGTGAAAACCCTTTAAAGAATATTAATGCGATGGGAGGTGTAACAATTTCAAGATAAATCTTTATGCAAGACGATAACTCAAAAAAATTTAAATTTTCATTTCCATCATCTTAATCTGATTGATTATGAATGATCACAGAAGCATCTCGGAGTGTTTTCGATTATTAGTTATTTTGTGGGTGTATAAAAAAGAACCATAATTCAATTAGGAATGAATAGGAAAACATTATAAATATAGGCAGGATACGGATTCATAACATTTTTATTAATCTCATTTTCCGTTTCTATACATCAATCTAGAAAATTAATGTATCAAATTAATAAATGCATTTTTTCTATGACAATCGCAAGTACGAGATTACAAAGGCACAGCACACTGAATTAGACAGAAGGGAAAGTTTCACTCCTGTATGCCGAGTCCATTAGCGCCTGATCCAATCAGGGTTCAGTCATGTGTTTGTTGTCTATTCTGAACCAATAGAAATTGTATGGCGGTAACACCTATCTTTCTTTCTGTCTAATTATCCAATTAGAGATAAATTCTTAAATCGGTGCTATACACTAAATAAATGGAAATATTTACTTCTACTAAAACTATAGTGGTTCAAAAGAATTGAGACATTACCACAAACTCTTATTTTCTAATCCCTATTTCTTTGCATGACCCAATGTCGAAGACCTCAGATATTTTAAATTAGGAATCAAAATTTTAAATTTTTGGCAAAATCTCAATTTCTTAATAAAAATTACTGGTATGACTTTGTGACCTCGTACCTCACACATGTGTACCTCATCTAGTTTTGATCAAGTAGGATCAATTTGGTTTCACTTTAGAAAATTCAAAACTCTCAATAGCTCTTCAATTAGAAGAGTTCTAATTTAAGATTTTAATCTTTTATGGTAATTTACTTTTTCATGACGTCTAGAGATCTGTTTTAAAAGTGTTTTCTCTTCTACTGGGCAGCAACATTAGACCTGATAATACATCTTTTTTGATTACTTTTATTTATACATCTTAACCCCAGCTTTAAATCCGTGAACACTCTCTTCATGTTTAAATCAGTTGTCGGTCTAATTCTTGTATCAAAGAAGGATAGAACATAAAAGTTAAAATGCCGAACATAATATATATAATTGGATTCAAATGTCAAGAGATTAATTTATTTAATGAATTTTGAACAACATTATACAAAAACGTATTATTTATTCTTTATTTTAAATGTTCCAACTTTTTAGTTTTCTTTATTAAATACATTATTATTCAGAAAGAAAATATATTTAATTAATTTTTAAAACATTTTTATTTTATATTTTTCCCTTAAACTTTGATGAATGCAATTATTACATAAAAATGCATCTAAGCACATTAAGGTGCAGCTGTGGTGCTTGGCAGAAATCAGTGGCCGCGGCGCTCGGTCCAGAAATTTACATTTATTCTATTTATTTTTTATAGTTGATATTTTTCAAGATATACTGTAAATAATTTGGAAACGGATTGGATATTGCCATTTAAAAGTTAAAATGCTTTAAATTGTTGAAAATTAAAATTATGTTTAAATGTAATAAAATCTATTTGATTTTGGTAATTAAATTCTCGCGCTAGAAGATCATATATCTTAGCGTTCAGTTTAACCTTGTTTTAAGATTAAATAGTTATTATAAAGTGACATTTTATTCTAATGTAGAAGAAGAATTGCTTCAAGCTAAAAGTACATAAACTCAAAAAGGAATAGATAGTAAAATTTTAGATTTTAATATTCTGTATTAGTCTCATTAGTTATTGATTTCGTCATACATTTTTATCGACCAAATGTAAAAGTAGGTTAAAAAAGTAGGTTGCCATCAAATGTGAATAAAGAATCAACTTGAAGTTTGATTAACTGTCAAATGAAACTTGAATTAAAACATTTGTCAAGTTTTTTTGAACAAAAATATGACACTTTTTGTTCAGCTGAACAGAGTTTATTTAACCAGGTTTCTCTGTAAAGTCAACGGTGCTAGCATTTCTAAAATAAGCTTATCCATTAAAGATTTATTACAGATCCATCAAAGATCCAATAAAGATACATTAAAGATCCATTAAAGATCCATTAAAGATCCATTAAAGATCCATTAAAGATCCATTAGAGGTCCATTAAAGATCCATTAAAGATCCATCAAAGATCCATTAAAGATCCATTAAAGATCCATTAAAGATCCATTAAAGATCCATTGAAGACTATGTTCTCTTTAAACTTTAAACTCTTTAAAACAGACTTAGATCTCTTAGAGAAATAAATAAGTGAATTTTCAGATTAACTAAAGATGTTTTAAAAGTTTGAAAATGAGAATCAGAAGAGGATTTTTATCCATAACAATATTTGTGATACATTGTATACTGCAGTCGCTCTCGGAGGTAGTAGAGAACCTGAAAGGGACTGTAAGCGTAATTTCATGTAACCCTCCATGCAAAGATGGCAATGCCCGATTTAAAACATTATCCTTAAAATCTTAATCTGATAAAAATGGTGAAGAAAACATCGTTTTTTTCTAACTCGAAAAATGTTTATTTCCTTGAACTTCTCTATTGCCTCTTATACGCAAGAAATTCTTTTACATAAAACCAAAAAATGAGAATCACAGTTTAAAGAAACAAAATTATGAATACTAATTCATACTTGAACAGACAAAGCTTTTAAGAGTACCGTTGTAAATCAGGCATTGACATCTTTGCATAAAGAGTTACTTGAAATTACGCTTATATAGTCCCTTTAAGTGTTCATAGAATGCTCCCTTGATTAAAGTACATTTCATAAATGCTCCCTTGATTTAAGTACATTTCATAAATGCTCCCTTGATTGAATTACATTTCATAAATGCTCCCTTGATTGAAGTACATTTCATAAATGCTCCCTTGATTTAAGTACATTTCACAAATGCTCCCTTGATTGAAGTGCATTTCATAAATGCTCCCTTGATTGAAGTACATTTCATAAATGCTCCCTTGATTGAAGTACATTTCATAAATGCTCCCATGATTAAAGTACATTTCATAAATGCTCCCATGATTGAAGTACATTTCATAAATGCTACCATGATTGAAGTACATTTCATAAATGCTCCCTTGATTAAAGTACATTTTATAAATGCTCCCTTGATTGAAGTACATTTCATAAATGCTCCCTTGATTGAAGTACATTTCAAAAATGCTCACTTGAATGAAGTACATTTCATAAATTCTCCCTTGATTGAAGTACATTTCATAAATGCTCCCTTGATTGAAGTACATTTTATAAATGCTCCCATGATTGAAGTACATTTCAAAGAAGGACATTTTATATACTTACAATTCATGTAATTAATGTACAATGTACATCCAGACATTTAATGAATAAACCTCACCTAGTCAAAACATTACATTTTACAAAAAGGACATTTTGCAGATATTATATATTACTATATATATATATTACTATATTTAAAATAATTTTTTTATTTTATTATTTTATTAATTACAAATATTCAAAATATAAAGATGACTTAACTTACAGTCACTTAAAAAAAAATCTATTTTAAGGAAGTAAATACGCCCAGCAATGAAACATTTGAAATGACACAGGTAGGAAAGAAATATTTGCCAATTTATATATTTGATCAAGAAGTTCTGAATTTTTAAAACTTTCCAACCAAGCAGTTAGTCTCAATATAATGGAGTTAAGTGACAACTTTATTATCGTCTTTGATCTCTCGGGAGTTTATGACTAACAAAAAGAAATCTGATTTTTTTTTTCAAATTGTATAAATTAAGTTTTTTAATATGAATTTTGAATGCACTATGAATGAATTATGAATCAATTATAAATGAATTATGAATGAATTATAAATGAATTATGAATAAATTATAAATGAATTATGAATGAATTATAAATAAATTATGAATGAATTGTAAATGAATTATGAATAAACTCTAAATGAATTATGAATGAATTATGAATGAATTATGAAAGAATTTTAAATGATATATGATTATTAATGAATTATAAATGATATATGATTATTAATAAATTATGAATGAATTATGAATAAATTATAAATGAATTATGAATGAATTATAAATGATATATGATTATGAATGAATTATAAATGATATATGATTATGAATGGATAATGAAGGAGTTATAAATAACTGAAGTAATATAAAAGGTACAGCATTAAAAAAAGAGAACTAAGGGGAAACTAATGCTATTGTGGATTAAAGACGACTTTAAAGTTTTCATTTAACATTATTTTTATAGAAATTTCTTATTTTCTTTAAACCTTTCACATAGTTAAATGAGACACTAGCAATGGCATTGAAATTACTGGATGAGAAGGAAGACGACACCGTTGATTATTCTGACAGTCAGTACGAGTACGTGGACTGGGTGAAAGCTGATCTGGTGGATAAAGGACAACGTCTTGTTGGAGCTACAGCAAGCAATAGTTCAGACTTTCCATTCATCGTCGCCATTAATCCAGTTCCGGTGGAGGGATCTTTAATGTCCTCATGTACAGGTATATTTAGTTTTTATATTAATCCAGCTGGACAGAATTTAATGAATTGGACAGGTTGCTAAACTACCTACAGCCGGTTCAAAACAGGAATCACCGATTCAAATCCTCATAAAACTTTAACTTTGAATCGGTGATTAAGGATTTGAACTAGTGAGGAAGTCAGTTCAGCGACCTCTCCTCAATTCATTAAATTCGGTCCCAGTTCAAGATTAGTTGGAAAATTATGAATGAGAGTTCCACCAAGGGATAAGACTTTGTTGATGACGATAAAAATGTAAGGATTTACTTACTGTTGCTAACTTCATGAACAATCCCTTACCCCCACCCCTTGCTTTCCCTTGTTTTGTTTTGTTTATTTAAACCTGTTCATAGAAGAGATTAAAATAAATGCATTTCCAAATTATCAACATTAAATATAAAATCCTTTTCTAGTTCTTCAAGGATTAATATTTTGAAAATTTATTTCACAAAGTGGTAAACAGAAAACAGTGAACAGTGAATTGTCATCTTCTATATTTTTTTTTTAAATGTATCCTAGACATTTTTCGACATATGTAAGATATATAAAAAAAATATAAATTTCAAAAAATTACTTATTAATGGTTTCAATTATTTCTTTCTTTTGTTACCAAAATGCTAGAAAAAAATCCTTAATATCATATCACTCACTTAAAAAACTGAAATTTTTTAACTTTGTGGACTTTTTATTTTAGGATCATTGATAACTCCCCGCTGGATTCTCACTGCAGCTCACTGTGTTTACTCCGAAGAAGGTTTGGTGGATAAGTGTATTAACGCAACTAAGAATGGAACTGTTTTCAAGGCAATAAGTGAGTAAGTAGTTTTTATTTTTACCGGACATCTTCTCCTACCGACAAATTGTATGGAAATAAATAAATGATTTTATTGAAAATCATTTAGGGGCTTGTATTGGAGACACCCTCCCCCCCTTCGGAAAAATTATTGCATAAGCCCCTGAATATTATCATTACATATTATAATCTAAAAATCATTTTTACATCTTCCATTCCATTTCTGATTGACATAAAGATATATAATTTAAATCATGTGTTTAAATTTTCACCTGTTTTTCAAAAATCCTTTTCCAATAAAAATGTAATTTTTGAATGATTTAATTAAAAATCTGAAAGAGCTTTACAGAGTTTAATTTTTTCAGCCTCGTCGGATATTTTGTTTTAATTTAATTGTTCATTTTTTCAAATTACTCTGAATAAACCCTCTGCAAAAAGGACTTAATATTCATTGAAATGGAATAAAACCTTGCTTTAACCGTCTATTTTTTATATTTTATTTAGTACGAGCTAAAGGGCCCGGCGTTGCCCGTGAAAAAGACACCCCCCAACTACCCATGAGTGTCCACAAAAAAATTCAGCCCAATCGGTCCAGCCGTTTGGTATGCCATAAACAACATATATATGAATGTCAATTGTTTTATTATATACTAGCTGAAGAGCCCGGCGTTGCCCGTGGAAAAAAAATACTTTTAAAAATTAAAAAAAAAAATATTTTTGATTTTTTAGCCTATAACATCCCCTGGCCACCCATGAGTGTCCACAAAAACTTTCAGCCCAATCGGTCCAGCCGTTTGGCCGGCTATACGCAACATATATATGAATGTCTTGTTTCATAGGAATAGAAGATATGTTTTCATATTCTACAGAAAGTATTTAAATCATACGCAAACTTCATTATCAATTTGTCAATGAACATTTCACATAGATTATTGAGAATTAAATTATAAACATTCTCTCCGATTTTGTGTATTAGATAATTAAGATAAGATAAGATAAAGTTTATTGCTAAAATACATTTATCTGTGTAAAGATTACAGAACGAGTTTACAATTACAAATTGATGATTATATTTAACAGTACAAGCATAAAGTAATTAGGTGGAAAATAGCTCTTGGCTGTTTTGATTATTTTTTCCACCTAATTTTAATAATGATAACAAAACATTTTAATTAAATAGATTTGAGGAGAACTATTAGAGATCAGGTTGCGATTTTATCTTATGCAAAGTAGTTTATACATTTATTAGAATGACTAGAGTTTAAAGTAATTTTCTGACATGTACACAACAAATATCAAAGCATATTAAAACGTGCCTAATTAGTTTTACAAGAATAAAATTCGGTTTATAACACATTGTAATGTAATTTTCAAACGAGAATTCAGTAGTCTATTTTTAAATATACTTACAGAGTTGCTTCTTTTTATGTCAAGAGGCAGGTTTTTCCACATCTTAAGAAGAGAGCTTGATGGTAAATACTGTAATGAGCACATTTTGAGAATGTCAAGTTGACAGTTAATAGATCTTTCAAAGTTTTCAAGCTTTTAAAAAATGTTTTCAAAAGATTTATTCTTAATCAGTTGAACATTTTCTGTATAAAAACACATATTAAACTTCAGGGGACATACGTTTCAAACCTACTAATGCCGGCTGAAAACGAAATACGCGAAATATTTATTAAAAATAGAAAACGCTTTACATTGAAACACAAATGTTAACTTTAACCAAATAAAAGGTGTGCATGCGAATGTACAGGGTGTCCCAATAAACATGGGAATTCAGTGACGAATTCGATATCGTCTTTTTAAATAATTCTTTGATTTAGTATAGTGATACCTACTGAGAAAGCTGTAATCTGTAAGAGTTTCGTCTGCTATGGTCACATTTTGTTTGTTTATGTTTTGACTGCATTGGGTTGTGCAGGTGCTTAGTAATACAAGAAAATTGCAGTATACAATAGAGTATATAACTTGTCCGTCGAGTCCGTCTTCACTGTTCATCTTGCGAAGACATTATAGACACATTTTAACAGTCTTTTACCCTTTTCATAAAATAAACTCTAGCAGACATAATAATATTATGGCTTTTGAAATTAGGTATTACAATGCTAATTCATAACAAAGACGATACCGAATTCGTCATTGAATTCCATGTTTTTGGGACACCCTGTATTATTGTTGATAGTTGATTTCATTTTCGAGCTTATCCCTATTTTGAGATAACTACCGCATTTCAGCTTATGTTGAGTTTTGGAACATATCCATATTGTGACATTATTTATGAAAATATTTAAGGACATTGGAAAATTATATTATTTTTATCATTTTGTTCTTAAATAAATCTTTAAATAGAAATGCAAGAAATTTGTTGTTTAAAATGCAGGAATACATGAGGCATGTTTATTCTTTATGTTAGCAAATAAAATGTGAAAACAGAGATCTTGGAAATATTTCATCCGTAGACCTTTTCTCTAAACGATAATTTGTGTTTTCAGTACTCTATTTTGTTAGTGTCGAGTGTTAGTTACGTTTTGAATTGCGGATTTCACTCAAAACACGAATTCTGAGCACCCCCCACCCCTGGAAATAAAACAAACTTATCCCCCCCTGGACAAAGTCCTGACTACGCCCCTGGCTATAAATGAGGTTGGTGTCGAAAAAGCGACAATGATTCCAACCGGGAAATATCTTAAAAACGGTCAAGGTTTTTAATGAAAAAGATCTCCTATTACAAATTATTTAATTATGTCAATTGTTTTTCTTGTCATACTTATTAAAATATTGTTTACAGTTTTCATCTTCGACTTTTACTCTCGATATTGAACATGATCCTAAAAACCCGATCTAGAAACCCCTGAACTTAGTTTGCATGGTATTGTGTTTAAATATTAAGTGCGAGCCTCTATAGTCTATAGTTTAAATATATTTAAACTATTTTCCATTTATTTATATATTTATATCCACGTAAATTGGACATTCTCGGGAAATAATTTGAATAAAGTTAGAAGCTCGTATTTAGCTAATATACGACGTAGAAACATATTATTTTCATGAAATTAAACCTATTCTTCTTTTCTTTGAAACACTCAACCTTAAGGAACTGTAGACGTAATTTCAAATGCCCGATTCACAATGGTATCCTGAAAAAGCTTTGTCTGATCAAAAATAAATGTTCTCTCTGAAGATTAATTATTTTCAACTGCGGTTTCTTTTCAAAGTGACAATGGAGAAATTTTCAGAATTAATCACTTTTCAAATAAGAAAAACGACTATATATCATTGATTAGAAAAAGGTTTAAAGGGTACCGTTGGGATTCGGACATGTCCCTCTTTAAACGGAAGGTTCCTTAAAAAAACAACGAGAGTTACTTTAACGTGGGGTTCCTGCATCTTTATTCTCATCGAAATATTTGAACTACATTTTTCAGTATGGTTGGAGTTACTATTAAATGCAGACTACTCCCTGACAACAGCACGGAAATAGTTCCAATTAGTCCAGTTGGAAAAGTCTGGATCGGCTACCAGGACGTGCAAGATCTCGGGAATAAGGAGGGATCGATCATGAATATCAGTCGAGTTATCAAGCATCCACAATCATATATCGGGGAAGGGTACAAGGATTATGGAGGGTATGACATAGCTCTCGTAGAAATAGATGGGAACACGACAGTTGATAACGTGGCATGCCTCCCCAGCCCTAAATATTTTGATACCCGGTTATCGAATGTGGCTGGCTACGGAAAATACTTCAGAGGAATTGGAAAAAAGAAAGTTTGTCAAACTGATGAGTACGGACCATACAAGTACCACTACTGTAGTGAGCTCGGTTCAAGTTTTGATATTTGCGATGATTCCCCTCCTCCTCAGGATCCAGCCTGCCAGGCATTTTTTAAAGATGCTTCTAGTCCTGATACAGTCATTGATAACTTTGATGAGATCAATCTTGTTCAAGGAAACTCTAGTGTGTACTGCTACGGCGAGAAGTCGGGGAAAAATGACTCTGAAGGATGGTGTAAGGTTACAAGCAGTTTTTATGATATGAAAGGAGAACAAAAAATCCCAGGAGGGTCCTGGGGATTCTGTGGTAAAGATTGCTATTTAGAGGAAGATGAAAAAAGATCCGGAGTTCTCAGATCTGAGTCGAATGTTGAAGTGCTGGACGAGACAATGTGTGACAAATTTTTAAATAAGTCTTTGAGATCTGATGTACAGTTCAGGCCAAAAATTTTATGTGTTGGGCAGCTAAAAACATGGAAGACTGATGTTTGGAAATTTGAAAATGGAACTTATCGCCGCATTACTGATGTCAAGGAACGGAGAGACTTCAAACATTTTGGTAGCCAAGAAGGTTTGGTTTCTTTTTTTATATTTTAATTAAGAGAAAGTTATTTCCTTGTCTACTGAATCGAATTATTTATTAATTGATAAAATAATTAACAGATACATTGGCTAATCAATTAGTTGTTCAATTGATAAATAAATTAATTTATTAATTGTTTTATCAATAGATATGCAGATCATTTAATTAAATAATTGATTGGTTGATTAATGAGTTTCAGAACTGATTGATTGATAAATTGGTCAATTTAAAAACGCATTAATTGATTATTTGATCAAATGAATAATATATTAGGGTTCGAGGGGTATGTTGTGTCCCCTGGAATATGTCAAGGGGATTCTGGAGGTCCTCTTTTCATCCTGGAGGATAAAAACTTTATCATCACAGGTAGGACTACTCACAACATCAAGGTAGGACTACTCACAACATCAAGGTAGGACTACTCACAACATCAAGGTAGGGCTACTCACAACATCAAGGTAGGACTACTCCCAAGATCAAGGTAGGACTACTCACAACATCAAGGTAGAACTACTCACAAGATCAAGGTAGGACTACTTACAAGATAAAGGTAGGTCTACTTACAAGATCAAGGTAGGACTACTCACAAGATCAATGTAGGACTACTCACAAGACCAAGGTAGGACTACTCACAAGGTCAAGGTAGGACTACTCTCAAGGTCAAGGTAGGACTACCCACAAGGTCCACGTAGGACTACTCACAAGTCATAAGATTAAGGTAGGACTAATCACAAGACAAGGGTGTATATTTTTCTTTTTGAAAAAAAGTATCAGAAATGCTTTAATTTGACATTTTTAGGGCACCAAGACGCTCCATCATACTGCTAAAATCCAATAATTTTCTTCGAAGTTTGCTCGGGCTTCAGAAACCTGTAAAATATACCTTTTTTTAAGTGGTTGATTTGGGGAAAAATATGATTCTGAAAAGGGCGGGGGGGCAAAAATATGAGTCTCACAACTAAAACACAAGGTCAGGGTAGGACTGCTCACAAGGTCAAGGTAGGACTACTCAGAAGAACAATTTAGGACTACTCACAAGGTCGAGGTAGGACTACTTTTAAGGTCAAGGAAGAACTACTCACAAGGTCAAGGTAGGACTGCTCACAAGGTCAAGGATGGACTACTCACAAGGTGAAGGTAGGACTACTCACAAGGTCAAGGTAGGACTGCTCACAAGGTCAAGGTAGGACCACTCACAAGGTCAAGGTAGGACTACTCACAAGTACTGCTCACAAGGTCATACTAAACATTTAAGCTGATTATATTTAGCAGAAGCTAGGATATATTTAAATATTTTCCTAGAATAAATACTAAAACCTAACTTTCAAGTTTTCTTAGTGTTCTTAGTTTTACTTTAAATTTTTTAACTTGGCCTCGGAGAAACATTTTAAATATTCATGAGTTTTTCTTTTATAAGGATTTAGAGGATTCTAACTAAGCTTTTATCTCAAGTTTCACAATTAAAACTTCAAAACCTAAATTATTCATCTCAATTTTCCAAATTATTTTTCCAGTTTTAATTTTTTTTCATCCGTCTGCTTTTGAATATTAAACTTTTTTTTAGATTTAAATGTAAAATGTAGAAGATAGAACATAAAAATTATAGAATTAGAAGGTTTAAAAAGCTATTTTACTTTGTTTCTTTTTCTAGAATCTCTGGTCTGGTTTGTTCTTGAGTGGTCATGAAGTCTTTCCAAGCATAAAAGTTCTCTACTTTTGGTCTCGTCTTTTTTTCGGGCATAGTGAACAGTTTTTATTACACTACAATATCTAAACATAGTGATATCAGAAGGAGGTTTAATTGATCCAGAAGAAAGGGGGCGGAATTAAGAGGAAGAGTTTGGGATCGGGAATTCCAAGGTTAATTTTTTGGACCTGGTGGGGGTCTCCATTTTTCTTGTATTGAATACGAACTAGGGGCTTTAACGTTCGGGGTTCCTAAATCGGGAAATACTTTGTCAGCACTTGGATTTTCTATTGCAAGGAAGTTTGCAGATTCGACTTCTCCTGTTCTGGAACCAGTAGTGAAGACATCCACTATACTAGGAAACTGTTATAGAGGTTTCAACTTGGTAGGAACCAACCCTGAGGGCTCTTTATCATGCCGAACCTACTCTGGGGCTCCTGGTCCTAAGGAGCCTGATCTGAGCGCTGCTGATCCTTAGGAACCTGTTTTGGGAGCCCTGATCCTAAGGAAACTGCTCTTGGGGCTCCTAATCTATAAGGAACCTGTTCTGGAGGCTCCTGATCCTAAGGAACCTGTTTTGGGAGCCCTGATCCTAAGAAAGCTGCTCTTGGGGCTCCTAATCTATTAGGAACCTGTTCTTGAGGCTCCTGAGTCTAAGGAACCTGCTCTGAGGGCTCCTTCACCTGCACACCCCACTCTGGGATTTCTTCATCTGCAGAACCAGTATTTGTGGCTCCTACTCCCTGGGGAACCTTCTCCATTAATTCTACATCCAGTCAAACAAAGAGTTTTGTTTTTTATCTTTTTGCTCTCTTTTTCAGGTGTCTTTTGTGTCTCTTCTGTGTTGTTGTCTTTGGTTCTTATGGTTCCATTCTGACACAGGAGTATTTGAAAGAAAGAAGAACTCCTGGCCTCCTCTGAACCACAGATCTACAGATATTTGCGTAAAGCTCGAAAGGACATAAACTAAAATCCTTTAGCATTTTAATATGATGGTTGATAAAAGGGAAGATTTTCATTTTTTTGCCTTTCTTCTGGGAAATAAGTGCTTGTGAACCCAGAGAGAGATGTGTAAAAATAATCTCTTGATGTATATTCTTTAAAAAATTCATTTTATAAAGATGTTTGTCCATTCTTGTGTCAATGGACTAAATTTGAAGACGATGTTTTTAGAGACTGTTCACTTAATTGGGTATTTTTAGGGTAAAATAAATGCCTTGATAGCTATTCTTCTAATATTGAAAGTTTTCATATTTTAGTATATAATGGCTAACACATGACGTAATTGAAATATGATAATTTTTGAATTTCTCCGGCTGTTGTTACTTAAGAAACGTTGATTAAGTTGCTAAAATAACGTTACAACTGAGATGACTTATGTGTGCTGGAATTCTGAACTAAAAACTGACTTTAAGCAGGGTATTTAGTTTAACCTAAAAATACCCAATTAAGTGAACAGTCCATTTAAAGATAACAATTTCTAATATTTGCTGCTGCAGGTGTTGTGAGTGGTGGACGAGGAGCAGCTAAGAACTGTGGAGGTATAAACAATCCTACTCATTACACCAGGTATAAAACATTCCTACTCATTACACCACGTATATAACAATCCAACTCATTACACCAGGTAACCAGGTATATTACAATCCTACTCATTACACCAGGTATATAACAATCCTACTCATTACACCAGGTATACATTTCTACTCATTTTACCAGGTATACACAATCCCACTCATTACGTATATAACAATCCTACTCATTACACCACGTATATAACAATCCTACTCATTACACCAGGTATAAAACAATCCTACTCATTACACCAGGTATATAAAAATCCTACTCATTACACCAGGTATATAACAATCCAACTCATTACACCAGGTAACCAGGTATATAAAAATCCTACTCATTACACCAGGTATAAAAAACTCCTACTCATTACACTAGGTATACATTTCTACTCATTTTACCAGGTATACACAATCCCACTCATTACACCAGGTATATACAATCCTACTCATTACACCAGGTATATAACAATCTTATTCATTACACCAGGTATACACAATCCTATTCATTACACCAGGTATATACAATCCTACTCATTACACCAGGTATAAACAAATGTCGTCTTGACAATTTTTCAATCAGTTTTATACTATATTACGTAAATCTCAGTATTTGCATAAATAAATAAATAGCCATGAATATGCGGGAACAGTTTTAAAGAGTTCCATATAATCATTTAATTAAAATGCTACATATCTGCAACATTCCATTATCAGAAAGTGAAGAATACGACATTTGATGAATTCTTTCGATGTATTCGTTATTAAGGGTTTCACTGTAGGTATTCACAATCCTACTCATTACACCAGGTATATAAAATCCTACTCATTACACCAGGTATACACAATCCTACTCATTACATCAGGTATACACAATCCTACTCATTACATCAGGTATACACAATTCTACTCATTACACCAGGTATTCACAATACTTCTCATTACACTAAGGTATTCACAATCCTACTCATTACACCAGGTATATACAATCCTACTCATTACTCCAGGTATACACAATCCTACTCATTACACCAGGTATACACAATCCTACTCATTACACCAGGTATACACAATTCTACTCATTACACCAGGTATTCACAATCCTACTCCAGGTATACACAATCCTACTCATTACACCAGGTATACACAATCCTACTCATTACACCAGGTATACACAATTCTACTCATTACACCAGGTATTCACAATCCTTCTGATTACACTAAGGTATTCACAATCCTACTTATTATCCAGGTATTCACAATCCTACTCATTACAGCAGGTTTATGGTTCTTCTTATAACTTGTAAAAAACATTTTTTTAATGTATTTTCCTGACAGTTTTTTGGGTTTCTAATTTGCGTCAAAGCTTAACAAGCCTGACACTAAATTTTGAGTGAGACCTCACATTTTCATACGGGTTGTTCTGCGCCGGTCAGAAGTCTCAATAGTGTATCAACGAGAATGTTGTAATTTTAAGTAATCCCACATTAAAAAATGGAATGCCCGATATACATCGGCACCTCTTACACTTTTATTTGATTAACTATTTGGAGATATTGTTGTTTTTGTAACAAGTGTTTTATTCTGACAATTCATTACATTGTTTACAGATTTCAGATGAAACAAAAATGTTAACTAATGCCATGCACATTCTGTTGTTTAACTAACATGGAGGGTAACTTGAAATTACGGGCAGATCACATTCATTTTAGTAGAAGGCGATGGTTTAGTTGGTGTACCGTTCCGTTTTGACCTGAATGTGTACGGTACAGCTCTAAGCTAATAAAAAGTCGGTCCTGCGAGTCCTGCACTTGGAATAAATTGGAGTTTACAATTTCATTCCCAATAATTGATCAAATTAAATATAATTTCACTGCGGGGTACTTGATTTGATTTGATTTGATTTCAGAGTACGTGAGTTTTCCCGTTGGATTGCTCAGATACTAGGACAACATGCTGATCAGGTTTGCTGGAACAAAAACTTCCAGGACAGGATCAAGTTGCTAGCTGGGTAGCTGGAATCTTGTTGGAGCTCGGAAGAGCTGGAAGATACAGGGAGAACCGTCAAACTTGGAACCAGCAAACAAGAATCATCACTTATATCATCCCATTGTTTTAAATGACAAACAACTTTTTCAGCAAACCCAATTTTTTAAACATTTTTTATTTAAAGAACTGCAAGCTTAATTAAGTGACCCACTATGTAAATAGGGTAATTTCCAACACTATTCGTTTAAACCATACCTATGGCTGATCATTGTGAACTCAATACAACTGACTTCTATATAAATTTGTCTTGACTGCTAGTTTGTATGTCTATATCCATTAAAGGACAAAACGTCAGGAAAAAATTATGAACTAACAACAAATGCCTGGAAAAAATGTCGATATTCATTATATACTGACCAAAATGAAGATTTTTAAAAAAATCCAAATCTTGCTAACACATTTTCCCCTTTCCATCTCCAGCTGGTCATTGTTTTGACATAAATATGTCCAATTCCCTGTAAAATTCCAGGGGGGGGGGGGTAAAATTTTCAATTATTCCTCCCCCCCCCCTCTTTAGAAAAAGCCTTTATTTCTCTGGAGTCCCGAACACTCTATTTCAAACCGGTTTTCAAAAGTTCAAATGAAAATATTTATTTTCTGCAACTTCCGAAAAGTAAATATTAATATTACTTTTTCTTACAAAAAACAGCTTCTAAACAAACGTATCAACAATTCAAAGCAATTCTGAAGAAAAATAAGGATAAGTCCGTCGTCCTTTATCAGTCAAAGGTTAATTGAAGAAGTACTGTTGTAAACTGGACACACCACTCTACATTAATAAATGGTCACTTGAAATTATGTTTACAGTTCGTTTAATTAGAGCTCAACTCTGCAATAGATGGCAACGTAGAATTTGATCACTCTCTGTACAGCTGTATTCTTACGTCATAAGTGTCAACTTAGTTTTTGTTTCCGACAAAACTATTAATAATAGTGATAATTTTGGAATAAAGCACTTATTTTACGGTAAAAAAGTGTAATTTTGTGTTTTTTTCTGTTTTTACACTATTTTATTTAATCTTGGAAAACATGTCAAACTGATGTGAGAAAATTTCTTTTTCCTTGTTATATTTGACACTTGTGACGTGATGTATAATTTGTTCATTTCTCTGTTGCCACCTATTGCACTTGATAATATATTTGGTATAGTGCAAACATATCTAAAATCTGTAATTTTCCACAAAGTATTTTTTTTTTACTTAACTTAAAAATTGCGACTGAAAATAGAGCTTTTTTTAAATCAAGTTTCTCAAATCACATTTTATGTTAATTAATCTAATCTCTACAAAAGAACGTTTGCTGTTTTTAAAATCGTGGTGTTTAATAATTTTATAAAAAAATTCATTTAAGTTGAAAAATAAAATTTTTCTAATTTTTCTTAGGAAATGAAATGAAAGTTTTCAGATAAGAAAAACAATGGAGTTCTACAGAAGAAAACTGGTGAATGAGATTTTTCTTTAAAAATTTGACTATTTTTTGTTTTAGACAAAATTTGTGAAATATTTCATTTGCGACATATTTTGCCTTTTTTGTAGGTCTTTGTAGGCGTTAGTTACGAAAAACGTTAAACTTTAATTTAGCAATACGACAACATAAGGGTTTGTTATTTATAAAAAAATGTCTTAATTTTGAAAAGTTCTATAACTATATTTTTCTTTCATAAGCACAGACTTCATGATTTTAATGAATTTCCCGGAAAATAGTATATCTATGGAAACCTTCAGATGGAATATTATTTTTGGAGTATGTTAGACATATCATGTATACAACTCTAATATACAGATGTCCCAGTATTACAGCTCTAACTTGAGATTTATGGGACTATTCAGAAAAAATGATCATATAAAATTTTCTTGCAGAAAATACCAGTTTTTTTGGGGTCTTTTTTTGATTCATTTTTGAGATTGAAGAAGCACGTCTTTTTATACCAGCTCTCAAGATTTTCACGTTTGACCATCTCACAACTATTACTATTAGTAAATTGACCTGTAAGCATTCGTGAGCCTGTCTTGCACAGATAAACAAATTGAAAGCGGCAAAAAACATTGGCTCTGTCGTCTTCACTTCCGTGAAATCGGTTATGACTCTTTTATCTACTTTCACCGTGCCTTTTCACCGAAATCGTCATATTCCATCCTATAATTTTTACTTCATTCATCGTATTCGTCAATTTAAAGGAATTAAGCCTTTGCCACGAAATTTGATTTTCCAATCTCTTTATCTTTGCAACCCAATGTCGTAGACCTTAGATATTTCAAAATATGAATTTTGTTTGATCAAATAATCCAGTTCAAGATCAAGTTAAAGAGATAAGAAAAAAAACTTTTTTGTCCCCCCCATACAAAAAATACTTAAGGCAGCTGCATAAGTCATATTAGCGGTTTTCATTTTTTAAAGTCTAATTTCTTAGAACTTAAATTATTAAAATCAAATTAAAAATTAAAATAAGGTTTTCTGGAAGCGATTTTTCCTTCTTATCTACACTTTTCCAATGTTTAAAGTTTTATTTTGCAATTTTCAGCAACATTTTGAAGAAGTTTTGTGATCAGCGTTTGTTCTCTCTGAAAAAGCGCCGGAACTTTGCAATTTGATTTTGTCCAGTATTCTTTCTACATCAAGGATGCAACACACAATGCATGGAAATACTTTTTGTAAAGAAATACAAAGTATAAGTTTTTTCTTCAAAATTTATTTCTGTTTCCTTATATTCATAATTCCCTGCAACTTGTTAAGAGAGTTGAAAAAATCTTGATAGTTTCAGGTCGTCTTTACTGTATCACTTTCAAAAAGGGGTGGGGGGGATATTTTAAAGAGATAAAAATTTAAGCTGGCAAGTTGTCTCTATGTGTTAAAAAATACTTTAAACCCAAAAATACATTCATTCTCCTCAAAACAATCATGATATAACCTTCCGAACAACATAAATTAAGAGACAGATAATTTAAAAGAGGGAGACGGAATAATTGAAATTTATAAAAACTGTGGAATTTAAAGACGACAGATAAACTTATGATTTTAAATTTTCTAAGAAACATTTTACATAGAAATTGAACCCATTTCACTTAACGGAAATGTCGTTAAAATACTCAGTGACCCTCCATTAAAGAGTTAATGGTAAAGGGTGACCCCCCCCCCCCACCTGGATAAAGAGAAATATTGTATCACCTACTAAAACTCTTTATCAGTGTAATCTAACACCGGATTTAATAAGTCGCAAGAAGGCGGTTCAAATTCTGAATCACAGATTCAAAATGAAAGATTCAGAAGGAGACAGAAAAAATATTTGAACCGGGGTTGAAAAGTTCAGCAACCTCTCCAATTAATTAAGTTCTGTCCCTGTGTTTATTGATCTGAATAGAAGAATAGCACCCTGCCGTCACGGTTTAGTTAAGACTGTTGATCATCGAAGTTGAAAAGAAGCAAAAAAAATATTTTATTTTTATTTATTTTTATTTTTAATACAAAAAAAGAATATTTGGTAAAAAATATGTTCTTGTTAATGAAGCTTATCTAGTCTCTTCTCCTTCAATAAACAGAAAGGATTTGAGTGTTTAACACAAACTCAAATGTTCTAATCCCTATATCTTTGCAACCGGACAGTGTAAATCTTTAATGGGAAATTTAAAAATAGTAAACAAATGTTTGATATAATTTGTTCCAACAACTAAATTTCAACCCTCGTGGAAATGTACGTTTTCCTAAAATGTCTAAATATAATGGACAAAAAAAATATGCCTTATTTTATTGGCATAAAAATAGTAACATTTTTTTAAGGGTCTATTAGATTGCCTATAAAAAAATCAACATTTCATTAACATTTGTCAAAAATGAGATTACCAAAAAAATATTTAGTATTTATAAGGTCTCGCTTAGAGAGTGGTGTTGATGCATTGTTATTTCTGCTCAGTATTGCAAATGTAAAAGCGAAAAGAGGTTTGTCCAAGTGCGGTAAACAGCAGGAGTTTACCCGCACTTGAAAACAAGGTGATTTAGATGGAGTCACCTGAAGGTTATTTCTGCATGCTGTAACAGATTTATTTATTTGAATTTGGAGAAGAAAGGAAATCTATCGTTTTTTATTTAACAGAATTTTATCAGGGAAAAATTAAGACAACATTTTTTCCTTTCGTTTTTAGAAACAATGCCCATCTTTAGTTATAATGTTTTCAATTATCAAAAAAAATAGAAAGACTTTGAAACGAAATGGAAACAGGTTTATTAATATATCGTACTTTTTTGTATGCATGAGCTTACGCCCACAACCCTCAACGAAAAATAAAAACATTTCTCAAGTAAATAAATGTTTTACATTATAAACCAAATAAGGATTAATGAATATTAATTGTCTAAATTAAGTATGCTTATCTGAAACAGTAACTACGTACTAGATAACACTTACGCACACAGCCAACAAGATACTTGTTAACACCTACAAAAACCTAGATAACACCTACGCACAGCCGACAAGATAATAGATAACACCTAAGCACAGCCGACAAGATTCTAGATAACACCTACGCACAGCCTACAACATACCAGATAACACCAATGCACCCAACAAGATACTAGATAACAATTACTCGCAGCCAATAAGATAATGGATAACACCTACACACAGCAGACAAGATACTAGATAACACCTACACACAGCAGACAAGATACTAGATAACACCTATGCACAGCCTACAAGATACTAGATAACACCTATGCACAGCCTACAAGATACTAGATAACACCTACACACAGCCTACAAGATACTAGATAACACCTATGCACAGCCGACAAGATACTAGATAACACCTACGCACAGCCAACAAGATACTAAATAACACCTACGCACAGCAGACAAGATATTAGATAACACCTAGCACAGCCAACAAGGTTCTAGATAACACCTACACACAGCCGACAAGATACTAGATAACACCTATGCACAGCCTACAAGATACTAGATAACACCTATGCACAGCCTACAAGATACTAGATAACACCTTTGCACAGCCTACAAGATACTAGATAACACCTACACACAGCCGACAAGATACTAGATAACACCTATGCACAGCCTACAAGATACTAGATAACACCTATGCAAAGCCTACAAGATACTAGATAACACCTACGCACAGCCAACAAGATACTAGATAACACCTACGCACAGCAGACAAGATACTAGATAACACCTATGCACAGCCTACAAGATACTAGATAACACCTAGCACAGCAGACAAGATACTAGATAACACCTGGCAAAGCTGACAAGGTTCTAGATAACACCTACCACAGCCTTAAAAATATTGGAACGGTTATTAAAAGAATGTAAACTTTAAAGTGCACAAACCTACAAAGCAGTTTTATTAATGTAGAATCAATTGAGAGGTTTAAAGTGACTACAGACATATTTTCAATTCTGATTCAAAACAATACCCCTCAAAGCTTTGTCTGATCAAGTATTGCATTAAATATCCATGTTTCCCATTTTGAAAGCTGATTATTTTCATTTATGGTTTCTCTACAAAAGTGACTCATGCAATTTAATTACTTCAGAAACGATGCAGATATGAAGATTGCAAGGTACATCAGACACTTGAAATTAAGCATGTATTCCATTTTCTATTACTTGATATGAAAAAAACTAAAAAATCTCACTTTTGCCCTTAACTAAAAAAAATCATTAAAAAAGCTTTAATCAATACAGCCTTCAGCATAAATATAGATTAGACGGTGACGAATATCCAGGAACCTTAGAAATCGGGGACGAAAAATATCAAGAAACCTTAGAGATTATACTCAGT